ATCATGTACAGAACGTGTTGATTGAATACAGTATTCAATGTTAACTAAGTGTAAAAAATGAATTACACTAAATATGTGTAGGTGCATACATAGCACAAACCTGTGCCTAAAGCAACAGAAGAAGAAGCAACAGTTAAGCCATATACACATACACAAACATACAATATAAAACCAAAAGCACAAACAATACACACACACACACACACACAGTAAGGTGCGAGCTATGGGCGGCGCGCAGCGGATGGACAGCATAAGCGACCGCAGCGACTAGAATTAACGTTTAGTCTAGTTTAAGCCACAGACGCCACATCACATAGCACGCTGCAAGCTGCTAGCACGGGAAAAGAATACGAATGAAATTTAAATATATAGGTAAAATAATCTAAAAATAAACTTATACGTAAGCAACGGGTGTGGAAGAAACGGCAACAACATATTCATGTATGTAAATTAATATAAAATATTTGCCAGCTTAAATATGTATGTATATTTAAATATGTGTGTGTGTGTTTGTCTTTTGTCAGCGGACTGCGCAACAAATGAAGCAAAAAACCAGCAATCGTAGCAGTCGTAGCCACGTCCACGCTGCAACGTTGTAATTGAAAGTGAACCGTGCTACCTCAACAAGCAGGAACACCTACACATAGGCACACACGTGTGCATAGCCACTGACTCTCACACACACACACAGAAGCAACATGCTGCCTCGGTTTCGTTCCTTCTATGGCAAAATAATTATATTTGTGCTCGTCGCGCTATGCTTTATACTCTATCTGAAAGTTCAACCAGCTAGCGAGGATTTTCCTTTGCCCGTCAGAGCGAGACAGAGGCCAGCTCAGCTGGCGCACGTGCGACCGAGAGCTCATGAGATATATCCAGACAATGAGCAGGAGAATGAAATAAGACCCGTTACAGTATCGCCGTACGAGCAGAGCATACAGTTAGATCTGCAGAAGCAGGATAGAACGTTGGGCAACAAAGGTGTGGCCGTGCACCTGACCGGCGCTGCGAAGGCGCGTGGCGAGAGGATCTACAAGAAGATCGCACTGAACGAGGAGCTGAGCGAGCAGCTCTCCTACAATCGCACCGTGGGCGATCATCGCAATCCGCTGTGCCTAAATCAGAAATACGATGATCCCAGTACCCTGCCCACTGCCAGTGTCGTCATTATATTCTACAATGAGCCATACTCCGTGCTGGTGCGCACGGTGCACAGCACGCTGAACACGTGCAACGAGAAGTCGCTGAAGGAGATCATCCTGGTGGACGATGGCAGCGACAATGCGGAGCTGGGCGGCAAACTGGATTACTATGTGCGCACACGATTTCCCCCCGGCAAGGTGACAATACTGCGCCTGAAGAATCGGTAAGTGAAAGGGCACGATGTGGTGACAAACGGCGCTAAAGAGGGTAATGAAGCTATTGAAGGTAATTGGGTAAGGGGTACAGCGGCAATCATCAATCTGTTGGCACACTTTGACTGTCTCTTACACTCTCTCTCTGTCTCTGTCTCTGCCTCTTTCTGTCTTTTTGGCTAGGTAAATCTTCATTGAGCTAATCGAATGCACATTCAACTTGTTGGCTGTAAAATTAACACAAACACACGTTCGAGTGGATATCGTTCGGTTTGCCTTCATTTGAATAACTCGTTTTGTGGCACAGACTCACAGTCGGACGGCCAGACTGGGAGCTTCTTCTTTGCAGCTTTTAAAGTTGAAGAACTAAAAAACGTTCAAAAATTTCAAAAGTCAAACTGAAGTTTGATTAGCACCACGACTAACAAATACCTAGCAGACGAAACAATTAACAGTGACTCAATGTAAAATATACATATATATACTCCCCAACAGCTCGAAGGGTCATAGACTCGACTCGATTTGGCTTATCAGACTTAGGTCAATATATATGCCCATGCTACGTGGTTTGTTTCACCTTGGCGACTGTTTGGTCTGCTTATCATACCCCATACCTGCTGCGGTCGAGGGCATATAATGAAACCGTAAAACCTGTTCGTCAACTCATGATTATGTTTTTGACTTTTATTTTGTATCTTTCGTATCTCTCGCTTAGCACTCGCGCGTACGTCTCTCTTCGCTGACCCAATAATTTAATTCTCTTTTTTTTGTTGGCTTGCCCAAAATACCATTTTGGCTAAAGGAAAGTTGGTAGCTCTGTTTTAAGCTGTTCTTCTTCTTGGTTTATTTGTTTGCCTACAGCTTGGGTCTGATACGCGCTCGATTGGCCGGAGCTCGGATTGCCACCGGCGATGTGCTCATTTTTCTGGACGCTCACTGCGAGGCGAACGAGGGCTGGTGTGAGCCACTGCTGCAGCGCATCAAGGAGTCGCGCACCAGTGTCCTGGTGCCCATCATCGATGTGATCGATGCCAAAGACTTTCAGTATAGCACCAATGGCTACAAATCCTTCCAAGTGGGTGGCTTCCAGTGGAGCGGTCACTTCGATTGGGTGAATCTGCCGGAGCGTGAGAAGCAGCGCCAGCTGAGGGAGTGCAGTCAGCCCAGGGAAATTTGCCCCGCCTACAGTCCGACCATGGCGGGCGGTTTATTCGCCATGGACAGACGGTACTTCTGGGAGGTGGGCAGCTACGATGAGCAGGTGAGTCGACGAACAGCAGATGCTGAGAATCAGTTATGCAAATATGTATTCACCTCTATAGATGGACGGCTGGGGTGGCGAGAATCTGGAGATGTCGTTTAGAATCTGGCAGTGTGGCGGCACCATCGAGACAATACCCTGCTCCCGCGTGGGTCACATCTTCCGCGACTTCCATCCCTACAAGTTCGTATACAGCCAACACCCTAATGGATCTCAATTAACATTTACTTCCACAGATTCCCCAATGATCGGGATACGCACGGCATTAACACCGCTCGCATGGCCTTGGTCTGGATGGATGAATATATAAACGTGTTCTTCTTGAACCGACCCGATCTGAAATTCCATCCGGACATCGGCGATGTGACGCATCGCGTTGTGCTGCGCAAGAAGCTGCGCTGCAAGAGCTTCGAGTGGTACCTGAAGAACGTGTATCCGGAGAAATTTGTGCCCAACAAGAATGTCAAGGCCTGGGGCAAAGTGAAAGCAGTCAATTCAAACTTGTGCCTAGACGATTTGCTCAACAACAACGAGAAGCCCTACAATCTGGGTGTATATGCCTGCGGCAAGGCGCTGCAAAAGTCCCAGCTCTTCTCCTACACCAACAGTCTGGTGTTGCGCAACGAGCTGAGCTGCGCGACAGTGCAGCACAGCAGCTCCCCACCGCATCGCGTTGTGATGGTGCCCTGCCTGGAGAACGACGATTACAACGAGCAATGGAAGTACGAGAATCAGAGGCTGGTGCACGTCAACACAGGACTGTGCCTCGACCACAACGGACTGAAGAGCATGGACGATGCACTGGTCGAGAAATGTGATCTGTCCAGTGACACACAGCGTTGGATCATTACACGCGACTGAGCTAGCCACAAGTGCGCTCCTCGCAGCCAGCGAACCAGCGGACCAAGCCAATTCCAACCCAACAGAGAGAAACTGACTAAGCGTCGCGCAGTGCGACGCTTTTTACCCACAGACTCAACTAGAAACGCAACATGTGTAAATACAAACTAGAAAAGAAAAGAAAACGAAAGGATAGAATCATATAAAATATTTTCTATATAATATATACACTATATAGAGAGCGTAAGTTGTAGTTAGTGAATATCAAAGGAWGACAGATCGACACAAATCAAAAATACGTCAAAATATATTAACAGATTCATTAAGTGTTGTGCGTTGTGTTGTTGTGTAAAATAAAACTAAATGAAAAGCTAGTAAAAGTTGTATAGATATACATTATGTAAATCTCAATATATATATATCTGTTTATGTGCATATTATTCCTATGTAAAGCTTGAATAATTATAATTGCTATGTGATCATCAAATGATAAATCCATCAACAAAAACAAATGATATTTATAATAACACTCGCATTCCGAAACAAGTCTCGAATAATCAAACTATATCTTTTAAAATTAAGAAAACATGAAGGATGCAATGCAAAGAAAAAAAATAAGAGTAAAGCATTTATCAAAAAAAAAAAAAAAGAAAAAAAAAACTATTTTTGCCATTTATTTTTGAAAAAATAAAAAATATACATACGAAGAAACTGCTTCCACACATGGAAGACTTAAAACAGAATAAATAACTTTATGTTCATTCATTATTCATTATGGGAGAAGGGTATATGGGATTGCCTAAATGGGCCTTTGTCTATTAGAACTGTTATGAGTGGAGTGAGATTGGGATATATATAAATATATATATATATATGTAGATATGGTCATGTGAAGCCTGTTATGTTGACGTATTTATGCTTTTGGCTTGGGCCCACTTAAGGTGTGGCTAAAGGCAAATAACTATTATAATATTAGGGCTTGGAATTCTGGCTATAAACATATTTGTTTCGATGTTAATGATTGCTAATCCCATTTTGACACGCTCGCTGAAGACAAATACATATAATCCCATCTCAACATAACGGCATTATATACATATATTTTAACAATATATTCTGCAATCAGCTCTACAGCTCCACTATAGAGCTTATTTACAGATTCCGAACGCGCATCATGCAGTCATTGACGCCCGCTTTACAATATTTTCACACGTTTCAACACAAATTTTTGGGCGTCGGTCAAGTGTTCGAGCCATAAAGATTTAAAGAGAGGTCTAGTTCAAGGTCAGTAGCGGCTTTTTACTTGAATGTCGGCCAAGTCAAGGTGAGTACAGATAAATAGTACAAGTTATTAACACAGCTGCGCCGAAATAGAAATGGAACTCGATAATTGAAAACAAAAGGCGGGTATTTGTAATTTTTTTTTTTTTTTTTTTTGTATATTTATAGATTGTTAAGTACATAAATTGTTGTTTTTTGTTGAATACTCAAATTGTTGTTATTCTTGCATTTATTGCAATTTTTTTTTTGTTTTTGCTGACGTTAAATATACCAAAAATCGAAGTATAAATTACAGAAATTGTTGTGTCTGTGTGTTGTGTGTGTGTGTGTTTCTTGTCTGTTTTTTATGGCGTTTGTTTGGTTTTTGTTATTTAATGCTACTAAGTGAAACTTTACAATAAAACAACTGCATATATATTTAAAGAGAGCTCAAGTGTGTTGATATTTGTGTTGTTGTTTCTGTTGTTCTTCTGTTGTTGTTGTTGTAGTTGTAGTATTTGGTGTAGGGGTCGATTGCACAATAAAAGCATTTGTTTTGCTAATTCCATTTGTTTATTCAACTTTATTCAACGGTATTTGTTTTAGTAGTTAAGTAGCTGATGTGGCCTACAATTTGTAATTGATTTTGTATTTTGTATTTTAATAACATTTATTTCGTTGACCGTGCTAAAAGCTCTAAAGTGCTCAAAATTACGAATATCTGTGACTTTTGTTACTTTTACGAATACTCTTCTATCTGTTGGTTTTGTTTTTCTTTATATATATATATTGTATATTTTTTGCTTTCAAAACTATCCACATAAAATTGCTATGCTGCTCTTCTGCTAATTGAAGCCAATGCCATAAACATCTATTCATATCGAGCTTATCATATATAGTATATATATATATTATATCTTTTGACTGTGTGTGTGTGTGTGTTTTGTTTTTTAGCAAATCATATTGTATCTACATTTGACTGCTCTGATAGTTAGTCCAGGGCAATAGCTCCTCAGATGTGCCATATAAACAAAAACTATTCTCTGCTTTATTAAGGTACCATATTCTTGTTGCTTTAAGTATTTCCAATCTATATATACTATAACTAATATACATATATGTATGTGAGTTTACGATCTAGAAGTGGCTAGCAAGCATTTCTAAACTCTTTCTCAACTATTTTACAAGACATTGAAAGCGCTTTTGGCGTGCCTCTAAATTTAATTTCAATATTTTTAGTTAATTTATAATTCATATCTTTTTTTGGAATATCTCTCATATCTTCAAGCTCTATTTAAATGTTTTAAATTACGCTTATTAAATGCATTAAATTTCAGTAATATTTTATTAATTCTTGTGCTAAAATCAGAGAGTTCTATTCTGTAACCAAAACTTTCGAAATCCAACTCAAATTACGGCTTCTACTTATTAATTGCACACACATCAAATATTTAGTATTTTATTTTTTGTTTGGAAATTATTTTGAATGCTCTTTGAACATTTTGGAAATTCAGAAATTTAAATTTTCAATATTTTTGCGAAACTTCGGCTTAACCCGAAGTTATAATTCGATATTTTAGTTGACTTTTTATGTGTATCATA